AGAACCAACACGTATTGCTGGGCCTAGTGCGACCTGTATAGATAACATTTTTACAGATGTTAAGCCCTTGCATAAATCAATTATTCAAAATTTAAGTTCAGATCACTGTGGACAGTTAGTATCACTACCTTACATACACAAAAAACAGAAAAATAAGAAAGTTGTGTTTGTTCCAATAAATGAACATCGCTTGGAGAGGTTTAGAAGTAATATAATAAAAAGACTTCCATCACTTTCGTTTAAAAATAGTGCTAATTATTTGTATGCTACATTATTTGAAATCATACGTTGTGAATTTAGTAGAATATTTACTTCTAAAACTTTCTCTCTTAACAGTCGCAAATCATTTAATGAATGGGCGACTGTTACGGCCAACAGCTGCCCTGCCTAAACAGGAGTTGGATCCTTCGCGGCCCATAGACGAAGGAGCCACGGGCAGATGCAGGTCGGGCGTTCCTACGCCGAGGGTCAAAGGTTTCTAATGAACACGCGAGGGGAAAGGTCACTAGAAGAAATGCACTTACCTGCCTCAGGAGCGCAGACGGTTCTCCTAGACCGGCCCGGCTGATGGAAGTTGTGCTTGGTGTATGCGGTGTTGTGAGTGTAGGTGTAATTGTGTGAGCTGGTATGTTGACGGGAACCGATCTGGATGACTCGACGACGTCCGGGAGAAGGCACGCGCTGGTATCCCCGGAACTTCACCCTTCTGGAGGCACTCGTAAGGGGTTGTCACCAAATGGGACGGCTACTCTGGTAGTCCTTCAGATGTAAATCACTTTGATAGTTGCGCGCGAATTTCACCGAGTTAGTACGTTCTAATAACGATACCGTTATTGCAACGATTTACGCGGATTGTTTCTTTAGCAAGTTTAGGCGCGAAAAAATACGTCCGTATAGTTCGCAAGAAAAATCCTACTACCTCGCGAGAAGAGCCACACCGACTCGTTGGGCGGCCGGGGGGGCGGGGGAGAGGGAAGGTGTCCTTGATATCGAGGCCAAAAGCGCGCGTTAAATCCTGCGTTTTTATTGCAAATTTTCCTGCCTAGACAACCCCCCGCCCCGGACATAAGGCATTAAGTCCGCGAGTAGATTGGCAAACGGGACAAGGTCGCGACGGCCCGTTGCAAGACCGAATCTCCGACCAAAACCTCGGCCACTCTAGGCACCCCATCCGTTCCATACGACAATTTAACAATGCGCCCACGGCGCCAATACAAAGGTAGCGCGTTTGGTTCTTTAATCAACACGAGGTCTCCCACCCGAGGAGGCTCCGTCTTGTCAGACCACTTAACGCGCTGCTGCAAAAGATGTAGGTACTCCAGAGACCATCGGTGCCAAAAGCGTTGAGTCATCTGTTGCAGCAGGGCAAACCTGCTAAGCCGTGAAGCACTCGTTTCCCTGAAGGGATACTCGGGCAGAGCGTTAAGAGGCTGGCCAATCAGGAAGTGTCCCGGGGTTAGAACCTCCAAATCATTCGGGTCAGAGGAGAGGGGACAGAGGGGCCGAGAGTTGAGTACCGCCTCAATTTTACAGAATACAGTGGCGAGCTCCTCAAACGTCAAAATGGCTTCACCAATAACGCGACGGAGATGCGTTTTGGCAACCTTAACCACCGCCTCGAAAATACCGCCCCAGTGGGGACACGCCGGAGGGTCGAATTTCCACTGGATGCCCCTTTTCGACATAGCATTTCCTAAATAAGTCCGGTGGCTGGACAGAAATTCGACAACCTCCTTGAGATACCTATCCGTGCCCTTATAATTCGTCCCGCAGTCAGACCGGATCAAGTCCGGCAAGCCGCGCCGCGACACGAAACGGCCAAGCGTGGCCAAGAAGGCTTCCGTGCTGAGGGCGCTCACCAGTTCCAAGTGAACGGCTTTAGTGGAGAGGCACACGAAGACGCAAAGATAGGCCTTACATGAACGCGCGTTACGAAGGTTAGAGGACTTGACGAGGAAGGGGCCAGCGAAGTCTGTTCCGACCCCAGCGAATGGTCGGATGGCCCTGACGCGGTCGGGCGGCAAGTCACCCATAAGAGGCTGCGATATGGGGGCCTTCAGTTTATAACAGGGGATGCACTTAAAGATGACGCTCCGAATGGTGCGACGACCAGACAAAATCCAAAACTCCCGCTGCAAAATAGCCGACAGGGCGTTACACCCAGCGTGGGCATTCCTAACATGGTGGTGGGTTACCAGCAACCGGACAAGGGCGCCGTCCTTAGGGAGCAGCAACGGGTGTCGAGCCCCGCACGGCAGTTGAGAGTTTTTCAAACGTCCGCCCACGCGCAGCATCCCAGCGTCGTCCAGAAAGAGGTTCAGGCGGGCCAGAGCGCCCTTGATAACGGAGCCACGCTTCAAGTGTTCGATAACGGGCTCAAAATGCTCCGTCTGGACCATACGGATCCAATGCATCAGGGCTTCCCGACGCTCGCTAGGGGACAAAACGCAATCAGAGAGTCGGTTGGACGGATCTCTCGAATTGTGGACAAAGCGGCGCAGCCAAGCAGTCACTCCTAAGAGCTTATCGAGAGAGCTGTACCGTTCCAGAAGGGAGAGATCCCGAGTGGGCTTATCCTTGCCCACTCCTACTCGGGCCCGTAGGCCCGGCAACTCAGTAGGTTCGGAGTAATTACCCTGGGGCCAGAAGGATTGAGGATCAGATAACCAACTGGGACCCCACCACAATGAGTGGGCAACCAGCGCGGGGGCCTCACAGCCGCGGGAAGCGCAGTCGGCGGGATTCAACTCCCCGGGGACATGTCTCCAGTGGAGAGAAGTCTCAGAACTCTGGATTTGAGACACGCGGTTCGCCACAAAGACCTCAAGATTGTGAGGTGCGGCTCGGAGCCAACAAAGTACTATCTCACTGTCCGACCATGCGTAGACGTCCGTAATGTCGATTACAGGCTTCAAGGACGAGTGAACGTGGTTGAGGAGCCGCGTGAGAAGAGCGGCTCCGGACAGTTCCAATTTAGGGATAGTTAAACGGGATCTAATGGGAGCAACCTTGCTTTTGGCGAGTACGAGATGAACTGCAGTATGCCCAGAGGAACTCACAGTCCGCAAATATACGACAGCAGCATAGCCCTTCTCAGAGGCGTCGCAAAACCCATGTAGGGTAGCCCTGCATTTCCCTGGAGGTAGGAAGCACCTTGGCATGGAAACCCGGTTGATGTCCGGAAGGGAGGAGAGCATGGAGAGCCACTCTCGCAAGAGGACCCCGCTAATAGGCTCGTCCCAACCCAACCCCGACATCCAGAGCTTTTGAAGAAAGCACTTAGCCAAAAAGATGACCGGGGTGATCCATCCATTTGGGTCGAAGGTGCGAGCTACTGTAGACAGCACGGAGCGCTTGGTCCATGCTTTGGGAGGTGGGTCAAGTTTTACTCTATACGTGAAGGTGTCCTGAACAGGCTGATATTGAATGCCCAGCACAGTCAGCAAATTAGGATTCTCAGGGTGCTCGAACAGATGAGGATCTTGTTGATCCTCTCCTGGGAGGTCCCTCAAAATGTGTGGGGAGTTCGACAGCCACTTGCGCAACTCATAGCCTCCAGACTTCAGGATGGCAATTAATTCGTCTCGCAAGACCAGAGCCTCCTCGACGGTGGAAGCGCCCGTACAAATGTCGTCCATGTAGACCGAAGTCTCTAAGATAGAAGCTCCCCGAGCGTATCTCAGGCGCTCTCTCTCAGCGAGTTCAAGGAGGGTTCGCATGGCGATATACGGGCTGGACCGGAGTCCATAAGTGGTGGTGTTCAACTCAAATACCTGTATGGGATCGCTGGGCTTCTCGCGCCACAATATCAGCTGATATCGGCGGTCATCACGATGTACCACCGATTGGCGAAACATCATCCGAATGTCCGCGACAAAAACCACTTGGTGTCGACGGAATTGGGTCAGGATGTCGGATATGTCCTTGATCAGTTTAGGACCCGAGTGAAGACACTGATTCAGGGACACACCGTTTGATGTGGGGGCGGAACCGTCAAAGACTACCCGAATCTTACTCTCAGGGGTCCTCAAGACCGCATGGTGAGGGAGGAAGTAGTGCTCATGTGAACGCCATTCGAAGTTGGACGGTGACATGTGACCCAGCTCCTGATACTCGCGCATGAACTTGACATATTTGTCGCGAAAGGCTGGGTCACGCCGCATGCGGCGCTCCATGGAAAGCAACCTCTTCTCGGCCAGAGCACGGGATTGACCCAAAGAGGGGCGGGAGTCCAGAAAGGGTAAGCGAGTGACGAACCGACCGTCAACCCGCCGGCCGGTATTGTTCTGGTAGAACAACTCACACTCACGGTCCAGAGGGTCGACTCGAGCTGCATGGGGTGGTTCCTCAATGTCCCAGAATCGCTGGACAGCGTCCGATAGGGACACGCCCACGACGGAGAGAGGGTCGGCCGTCGGAGAGGGAGGAGACCACATAACCGGTCCAAAAAAGCTGTGCCCAAATATCGTGGAAATGGCTGCCAGGCCATTGGGCTGCAGAGCTCGTATCTCACCTAACAAGAGGGCACCCAGCGTGTCGGCCCCCAGTAACAAATCTATCGGCCCCGGTTGGGCCCACCGAGGGTCTGCCGGTCTCAAAGCCGACGCACAGCGCACAGCGCTGTCATTTATACGAACGTTAGGGAGGAACCCTACAATGTCGTCGAGGACATTTACCTTGACTAAAATACGAAGGTGTTCGCTGTCAGGGCTGAACACCAACTCCGATTGTCCCCTAGGAGCAGGAGGCTCGGCACCTCCGATACCTACCATCGGACGTGATTCAGAGCTCCAGGGGAGCCCCAGTCTTCCCACCAACCGAGTAGAGGCCACACTACGCTGGGAACCCGAGTCCAATAGAGCTCGAACCGTTAAGTGGTCGCCGCTCGGGTTGTAAACCTTCACTGAGGCTGTCGGCAATAGAACAGTTTGACAGGTGGACTGCTGACGACTTATAGGCTCAGTGGAGGCGGCCATGGCGGGAGCTAGGGCGGCAGCCTCCTATCTGGAGCTGCCTCTGTTAGGCCGGCACCCGAACCGGGGGGCCCGAGCGCGGCACTCCGACGGCGTCTCGATGACCCCCGACTGGAATTCCCCGAACGGGCCGACCGAGGGAAACTCGGGGATCCTCGGCTCCAAGGCTCGGGGCCGATACGCAGTCTCCGGAACCCGGTAGTACCGGCACCGGCCAAAGGGGGGCGGGCGGCGTTCCAGTCGCGGCCACTCAGCCAACGGGGGTGAGAAAGGTCTAGCTGACCGCTGAGTGGCCGCGAATCCACTATCAACTCGGGGAGGGGGGGTGAAGACCCCCCCGCCCCTGGGGGAACGACTCCCCGACCGATCGGGGGAGGGGCTCCCTTCAGAAGGAGGGGCGCTGCGGTCCGCCGGTGAGCGCCGAGCGTCGCCCGACAGTGGGCGTGGCTGGGCGCCCCCGCCCGTGGGAGTCGGGGGGCTGGCAGGGCCCTGCGAGGACGAGCCGCGCGCACCCAGGCACAAGAGGACGTTGTGGTTGCCCTGGCAGTGCGTGCAGGGCCGCTGGTGCGGGCAGTCTCGTTGTAAATGCCTCTCCAGGCACGAGAAGCACCAGCGGCGCTCCCTGGCGATGGTTCGCCTCGCCTTAGCCGGCTTGCGCAACAACTTCGGGCACGACGCCGTCCGGTGGTCGGATGCTCGACAATAGGAGCAGGGAGGCGCCTCCCGGGCCGCTAGGCCACTATAGGAGGGTACGGGGGGGCGCCCTCCCGCGGGGGCTACACTCGGCCTCAGGGGGGTGGGCGCCGCCTTGGCCGGCTGACTCCGCCTTTCCCTGGGCACCGCTCGGGAGGAGGCCGGGGGGCCCTCGACGGCGCCTGCTGCGTTCTCCAGCAGCCTGCACTGCTCTTCCAGGAACCGCAGCAGGTCCCTAAAGGGGGGCATATAAGAGGCGCCATCCCCTCCGAACCTCTCCTCAAAATGGAGCCGAAGGTCGAGGGGCAGGCGGGACAGCACTATATGAAGGAGCAGAAAAGACCACTCGTCCACAGGTAAATCCAGCCGCCGCAACGAGTTGCACGCTACGACGACTGGATTCACTATGTCTTCACGTAGTCTAGTCCGGTCCTTCAGCAGCGGGAGGTTCAGCAGCCTCCGAACATGATCGTCCGCAATCCGCCGGACGTTGGCGTACCTTCCAGCGAGGAGGTCCCTGGCGTTTTGGTAGGCGTCGTCCGACAACTTAAGGTGGCCGACGACGCTCAGGGCCTCCCCCTCTAGTGAAGCCAGGAGGTACCCCATTTTTTGGCAGGGGGTCAGGTCCCTCCGGGCGTCCACCAGGCTGTCAAACAGGCCGACGAAGGTCATCCACTCCGAGAGGACCCCGGAGAACCTTGGCAGGTCCAGCGTCGGAAGTCGTCCTAGCAGCTCTGGCTGGGCAGACGGCTTCCGCGGGGACTCGAGAAGGCTACTCAGCCGAGCTTCGCGCTCCCTCTCCGCATCCTTGGCCCCCGCCTCGATCAGGTCGTCCGTCAGCGCGAGGAACTGCTCGTAGTCCGCGCGGCAAGATTCCAGGACTCCCTTTTCCACCTCCAAGTCCTCGAGCTCAGAGTAAGCCTCCTCCACGGCCGCCCTTCGAGCATCGACCTGCTCAAGCCTCTTCCTCAGATTGTAGACCCTGTCCGGTCGGCCTATCAACGCGTGTGCGCTGGTAGCCCAGCGCAGCTCAGTCCGCAGGCAACGGATTAGCATCTTGGGCGAGGACATCACTACTAAATTCAAATTACGACGCGGCTCGAGCACAATTACAACAATAACAAATAAAAAATACAAAAAAATTAACAGCTAACTAATGCAGTTCCTATCAAATCGAGTTGGATAGAATGTACACAAATAAGAACAGCTATTATTAAATCAAACACAAGTTAGTACAAAGGAAAAGGTAAATCAAATCAACAATAACAAATACTAGTACGATCAAATCAAGTTCATTTAAATTACGTAAATACAAATTACCACTCTTTAGTTCAAATACAATTTACAATACGAAAGATATGTAACGAAGATACACATCAACAAAAATGCCTTGCTCGGAAATCAACCCTTCGATAAGTAACACACTACCATCCGACAACGACAATTAACCGATTACGTAAAAATAACCATCTACCTACATGACGCAATCTCCCGCTTGCGCGCGAACCGGGTGTGACCTTTCAATTTTACCCGCTAACAGTAAAGCAAGCTAACAAAGGAAGGAATTTTATTATTACGTATAATAATAAAAAGGTATTTTACGTATTACGGACGGGCGTGATTGTAGCCACAAATCCACCCAACGCTCCTGCCACCAAATTATTTAATTTTTATCCAATACTATGGTCGGTGGATCGACCGGGAATCGATCCCAGCACCGCGTTCTGCTACCAAATGTTACGGCCAACAGCTGCCCTGCCTAAACAGGAGTTGGATCCTTCGCGGCCCATAGACGAAGGAGCCACGGGCAGATGCAGGTCGGGCGTTCCTACGCCGAGGGTCAAAGGTTTCTAATGAACACGCGAGGGGAAAGGTCACTAGAAGAAATGCACTTACCTGCCTCAGGAGCGCAGACGGTTCTCCTAGACCGGCCCGGCTGATGGAAGTTGTGCTTGGTGTATGCGGTGTTGTGAGTGTAGGTGTAATTGTGTGAGCTGGTATGTTGACGGGAACCGATCTGGATGACTCGACGACGTCCGGGAGAAGGCACGCGCTGGTATCCCCGGAACTTCACCCTTCTGGAGGCACTCGTAAGGGGTTGTCACCAAATGGGACGGCTACTCTGGTAGTCCTTCAGATGTAAATCACTTTGATAGTTGCGCGCGAATTTCACCGAGTTAGTACGTTCTAATAACGATACCGTTATTGCAACGATTTACGCGGATTGTTTCTTTAGCAAGTTTAGGCGCGAAAAAATACGTCCGTATAGTTCGCAAGAAAAATCCTACTACCTCGCGAGAAGAGCCACACCGACTCGTTGGGCGGCCGGGGGGGCGGGGGAGAGGGAAGGTGTCCTTGATATCGAGGCCAAAAGCGCGCGTTAAATCCTGCGTTTTTATTGCAAATTTTCCTGCCTAGACAGCGACAGTAGGAATTTATAAAAGTAGGCGAAGGTTATACGAGCTTTATGATGAAAGATCATATAATAGTAGTGTTATATTTAGAGATTATGTAAAAACATATTCTAAAATATTTAAAAAAGTGTGTTCCACTGCTAAGGCTTTACATTTAAGCAACAAAATTAAAACTGCATCCGACAAAATTAAAATGACCTGGAGAATAATAAATAGTGAAACGGGCAAGGTCAAACCGCGCAACTCGGATTTTCAATTAAATATTAACAATAATTTAACGCGATCTGATCAAGAAGTTGCTATGGCTTTTGAGAAACATTTTACTGATGTTCCTTTTTTGACAACAAAATCATTAAATTCTTCTCCTACTGTCGCCGAATCATTGCTCAAACAAAATGTAAAGGCTTGTTCAAATACTTTTAAATTCCATAGGGTACTGCCAAAAGATATCGTTAAATATTTTAAAGCTATTGATGTTAAGAAAACGGCAGACTTATGGGGGATTTCCGTTAAAGTTATTTTGTCTATAATAGATACATTAGCACCTTATCTAGCCACTATATTTAATATAAGCGTCGAATCTGGTGTGTTTCCTGATTTAATGAAACATAGTAAAGTCATACCTATATTTAAATCTGGTAGTACATTAGACCCCGCCAATTTTAGACCAATTTCTGTACTACCAACATTAAGTAAAATTTTTGAAAAAATTATTTTAGATCAGATGTTAAGTTTCTTCAATATTAATAAATTGCTACATAAAAATCAATTCGGTTTTACAAGGGGTCGCTCGACAACTGACGCTGGAGTTGAGCTTATTAAACATATTTTTTGTGCATGGGAGAATTCAGAGGATGCTTTGGGTATATTTTGTGACCTTTCCAAGGCCTTCGACTGTGTTCACCATGATATATTAATCAGGAAGCTACAGTACTATGGTGTCAAGAACACAGCGCTTAAACTTATTATTTCATATTTAAGTAATAGAAAACAGAAGGTTATTATCAATGGTAAAAGTTCTTCCGGGTCACCTGTACTAATGGGTGTTCCTCAGGGCTCGATTCTCGGCCCATTCCTGTTTCTGGTATATATTAATGACTTACCTCACCTTGTAGGGGATAGTCATGATATAGTATTATTTGCTGATGATACTTCCTTGATTTTTAAACTTAAACGTCAATCATTTAAATGTGACGAAGTGAATAATGCTATATCAAAATTAGTGCATTGGTTTAACGTTAATAATCTGCATTTGAACGGAAATAAAACTAATTGTGTTAAATTTACAACAACGAATGTTAAAAATCTTAATACCAATGTGTTTTTAAATGGGGAGGAATTGAGCCCTGTTGTATCCACTGTTTTTCTTGGCATCACTCTTGACGCAAAGCTACAGTGGGGCCCCCATATATCCAAATTAGCAAGCAGACTAAGTTCTGCAGCCTATGCTGTAAAAAAGATTAGAGGTCTCACTAGTGTCGAGACAGCTAGATTAGTTTATTTTAGTTATTTTCATAGCATAATGTCTTATGGGATTTTGCTATGGGGAAATGCGGCTGATTCAGAAACTATTTTTGTTTTACAGAAGAGGGCCATTAGAGCTATTTACAATCTAAAACCGAGAGAGTCCCTTAGAGATAAATTTAAAGAAATTAATATATTAACTTTGGCCTCTCAGTATATTTACGAAAATTTAATGTATGTTCACAAAAACAAAGATAGTTTTAGTAAAATAAGTGATATACATTCTGTAAACACTAGGAACAAACACAAGCTAGTGATACCAGTTTCTCGACTCCACAGAGTCAGTAATTCATTCTTGGGGCAATGTATACGCTATTACAACAAGGTCCCGGAAAGTGTACAGGTTCTCTCTATTACCAAGTTTAAATGTTTCATTAAGCTGAAACTGTATAAAAAGGGTTATTATAGTATAAATGAATACATGGTTGATAATAACCCCTGGGAATGAGGTGATCGCTTCCAAGCAGTTTCTAAAATAAATTTTGTAAATAGTTCGTAATCATTTATATTGTAAAATTTATTTAAAAAAAAATGTCCCGCTGGGTTTCTTGCTGGTTCTTCCCAGGACAGAGGGTTTTTTCGAACCAGTGGTAAAGTAAAAAATGACTTTCAATAAGAATTACACATGTAATGTATATTGAATAAAAATATTCTATTCTATTCTATTCTATTCTATTCTTGGCGAGCGGGTTGGCAACCGCAGTTTTTTTTATTGTAATTTGGCTATTATCAGGAAGATGCTGCTGCCCATCTCCTGGCTGTTTCCCTTTGTCGCCTTTTACGACACCCACGGGAGGATATGGGGTAGTGGATATTCTTGACCGCCACTACACGGCTAATTATATAGTATTTAGTAACTCTGGGCTACTTATAGGCTACTTTTTATCCGATTAGGGAACTTGAAAAAGAAGGTTAAGTATTTTTCTTTCTTTAGATGTTAATTCTTTATATATATGATTATGTTACTTAATAGGCGGGATGACGAGTGTTTTTCAAAATAAATATTATATTTGTAAATAATATTTGAATTAGATTTAACCTTTGTATTACAATTTAAAGCTCCGCTGAAGACGTACGTTGAAATTATTAAAACAGGACATTTATCGTCAAAATATAAAAGCCTTTATTTTGCCCTTGGTAACTAATAAATTATATAATATAAATTATTACATTTAAAATTTATAAAATTATTTAAAAATTCTAACGTTTAATTTAATCGTTATTTCATTTTAAAAGTGTAATAATTAAAATTTAAAAATTAATAAATAACAGTTAACTCTATCAAACGTTTGAAAATTGATATTTTTTAACTTAAAAACATATCAATTTTCATACGTTTGATACTACATCTGTACGTAAACTGAATAAAACTGGTCTACCTGCAATTATTGAAATATTCTCATTAAATCATTATTTCGTTAAATGGTGTCATTTCATGTTATTTATCACTGCATGTTGACTATGTCATGATCTAAGCTGTAGCCAATTCATTGAATAGAGATCGTTTAACGGTATTAATAACTAAACACAACATTGCTATATCATGATAATATGATCATATCGTCAAATAGTTTTACCGCTAACAGCGCTGATAGCGTGTTTTTAACAGAAACAATTTTTTAACAGAATCAACGTTACTTTATGTTGTTTTTATATTATAAATATATTTTCGCGGATTTGGAATGGCTCTTGATCCAGTCGCACTCCAAACTTTTATAGATAATATTACTAGATAGTATAGTTTTGATTTTCATAGTATTCATGTAATATAACGACCCCTACTGTCTGCTAGGTAAACTAGTAATATGTAACGGATAAAATTAAATTTTAAATTGTACTGAATACTTATTCATGCAGATTAAAAAAGTGTTAAACTTTAAAATATCTAGACCGGTGGCCATTATCGGGATGATTTATCACAATTACCATGTTTGGCGAAATGACTAACAACACTGTTATACACAAAACGTGTGTTTTGTGTGCACAGTATCCAATACTGTGTACACTCAGACAAATCAAGATTGTTGCGACAGTCCTGGTTTTATAGATCACATGAGATATTTAAATGAATAGGCTGTTGCGAAAAAATACTTTAAATATTGATTTTACTTTAAAAAAGGTTTATTTTATTTT